AGCTGTGAAAGGGTGGGGAAATGCCCTGAAATGATCTAAGAAGTAAACTGTCAACTTGACATGTTTTCCTAGCTATTGAAAATCTTCTTATATTGAAACCCATTGATAGTGAAACTGTAGAATTCCTCTGATTTAAGTACCATCTGGTTGTGTTCAAGGCTTTAAAGCTGTTATCTCCGCATACAATTTCAGAGTCCTATACTTTTTTTCTTCATCAAACTATCCATTTTTAAGCCACAAATATTTTTCCAGCTCTTTTCTGATTTTATCTAAAAGTATATTTTAACAGTATTTAAATAGTTCTTAAACAATAACAATTTATCTTGATAGATGGCATGCTGTGTTTTTTCATTTTATTTTAATTAGCCATTGTGGAACCAAATTCTCTTTTGTTTTAGTCTTTTGAATATTGTTTAATTATAGTTATCATGCCAGATATCTTAAAGGTTATTTTACCAATACAGTTTCATTTAACATAACCCATATGGAATCAATAGCCCAGTTTCCTAAAGTGAATGCTTGGAAAATCTTACATTCATATGTTAAGAGTACACATCCTTTCCTCATTAGTTGGAGAGTACGGGATTTTGGCACAGGTTCTGTGTGGAAGCATTGTGCAGCTTTTATATGGATTTTGTTTTTAGCCTTTGATGACACTGTTTAGAATAGGAAGTATCTAATAAGTAAAGCATTTTGTCTCAAGTGCTGCCAGTGTGTTTAATATATGCCTGGAGGTCTGAAACATTATCTTCTTCACTACAGTAATATGCATTTAATTCTCTGAAAGCAGAAGGTCGAACTTTTAAAAGGGACGCAAAGTACATTTTCAAACAGAATAATTCAAAACATATGGAAGAGGGGACCAGAATAATATACAGTTGGTTTTTATGGTTTAATCATGATCATGTTAATGCACACCAGTAGCTAATTAAAGAAAACTTTTATTGTTCATTTTAAATGAGTTAGGTAAAGAGTGGGAGAGATGATGTAACAGCACTGCCCAGAGATACATACATGTTTCTGCCTCGTTTACTAACAGGAAGCAGATACTGCTATTTTTGACAACTTGAATTATTAGTCCCCTTGGACAATAATAAAGCAAAAGTTATTTTCAAACTTACTATATTGTGAACTTCTCTTTTTCACAAAGGAATACTAAATTGATGCCCAAGTTTAGGGCTTAGAACATGTAATTAATTATAAAACTTTTCTCCGTAGCAGGCCAGGTACTCTTCTATGTATGATGGATAAATGCAGTGAACTGGTGACAAACCAATGGATTTTTAAATATGTCTCAGAAATCACCAGCTTATTTATTTCAGTTCTACAAATAGTGTGGAAACTTAGAAAAATGGATAAAGTCTTAGCTTTTAACCCAGTTTGAACAACTTAGTTTTCTAGTACTATGAAAGTTGTGCTTTTCTTTTTCTCTCAATGAGAGTCAGTCTTTCATCTCTGGGTCATTGGTTCAAATTCCATTCTGCTCAGTAGTGGCTAGAATTAGTTACCATCTGACTTCTGTTCAGTAACCTACATGATCCCAGATGATAGCTGCCATCCCACCCCCTGTTGGCTATTTATATCTCAAGATCAGGCCACTTGACATTCACTAGAGTCTAATGTGGCAATCTCAACACATTAGGGCCGGACACTAAATTTCTTTATCTTCACCTACAGATGGTCTCTTTTGTCATGTTAACACTGATGGAGAACACTTAATTCACTTTAAAGAAGGAGAGACTAGATTTTAAATACAAATCTGGAAACCAGAAGAAGAAAATATAAATACTCTGTGCATAGAAAGCATAGTATCATATAGTTAATTGTGGTTGCTTTTCCTGACTGAGAGAATGAAAGTAGTTGAGTTCTTGATTTGAGTTTGCCATGGAGCTCAACATAAAGGCGTTTTGTTATGCTGTGTACAGATACTTAGTTTGTAATGCTTCAAACTGTGGCAGTAAATCCTAGACTACTTATTACTTCATTTCATTATTTTTTCACATATAATTTGAGAATTCCTAGTTGATAATGGATTTGGGGGTATATTTGAAATTTTTATACTAGGGATAACTAAAAGCTTTACGGTTAAACTGTCAGTCTGATAAGTGCCTTAATTATTCTTCACTGAGTTTTTGTATTACATATGTTTATTTATTCAGTCAGCACATAGTTGCCAAGCTGTACTATGTGACAAGCAGTATGGTGTGTGCTAGGAATGCTAATGATCATTCTCCCTTACCACAGCCTACCGCCTCTGACTGACCTTGGGCCTACTGATTGATGTGTTTAAGCCTCAGTTTCCTCAGTTGTAAAATGGGATAACAACCCTTCAAAGGGTTGTAATACCTAGTAAAGGAAATGTATATAATGTGCTAACGATGTTTGGCAAATAATAAACATACTCAGTGGTATCTTATTTTTTTATCTTCAATTACAATCTCTGAAACAGAACACAGTGTGAAAAGTGCTATAATAATATTAGTGTGTTACAACAGCATAAAAGCTGGAAAGAGTAGCACCATTTGGAAGGATGAAGAATGTTCACAAAGGTGACTTCTTTTTTTAACTTACCTTACTGAGTATTCAATAAGTTAATCCATTTAATGCTGCTGTAGCAGCTCTGTGGGTTGGTATTAATGTCCCCAGTGAGAGAATGAGGACCCAGCAGAGACAGAGGATTACTTGGAAGTATGATCAGACCATAAGGTGGAGGATGTAGATCAGGAAAGAGCCCATGAATGTATCTGAAAAGACCTTAAAGAGTACAGCATATGGGGAGTCTGTGTCCACATATATTTACATATTAACAGTCAGAAATTCTAGTCTGCACAGCAACTTTTTTCATTTACTTTTCTGTCAGAAACTGACATACCCTCAAACATTAATGGATCCTCTTTTCAATGTGCCGGGCGTTGCATGACTCCTTAGTGATTACTAAGAAGCAAAAATTATATGGTCAGTCCCTCCAGCAGTTCTTCACCTAGTAAAAGAGACAAACACATAACATCTCCCAATTATTGGAAATTTACTGTATGCCAGGTACTGTTCTGACCTCTTTAGACACATCAGTTCATTGAATCCTTATATTAACCCTTTGAGGTCAAATTCATTATCCTTATTTTACAGATGAAGTTATGTAGCCTTAGGTTCATTATTTGTCCAAAATCAATTAGAAAGTGTTGACCTTAACCCTACATCTGACTCCAAATCCTAAAGATTATTTTAACACTATCTGATGCTGCCACCTCAAAACATTTTGGGAGAAAATAATACACTCTAAAATAGACATATGAGTAAAGTCCTAGGATCACCCAGAAAGAAAAGAGGGAGAGAACAGTGTCATTTGTTGTGAGTGTGGATGGGTAGCTAGATGTTCTCCCACTAGGGCAAGCTCAGAAGGGGCCATCCAGGCAGGGAAACAGCACCATAGAATGGTTTAAAAGACTGTGATGTCTTCAAAGAACACAGAAAAGTTATTTCACTTTCAAACAGCTCATGCTGGATTTTTCAAACAGCAGTGTGTATCTCCCTCAACAACTTTAAAATTAGTAAGAAATATTCTTTGAAAAATTTTAATGTTAACAATCCTTTAACATTTTCACAAGCATCTTATAATAATTTGTAGCATGTGGAAAAATGATACTATACTTAACAATTAAATTAAGGATGAGCCTGAAACATGGTCAGCAATGTCCAGTACTTTAGGGAGTGTTTTTTCATTGCCTGTGGCATAGCCTTTTTCAAAATTAGTGCAGCCTTTTTGGAAAGGTATTGGCAATATTTGATAACCTTACATATACATAGTAATTCCACTTCAAGGAGCCTGCCTAAGGAAATACCATTAGATGTTTGTCATAGATGTTTGTTGGCAAAAATTGAAAACTTTAATGCCCATGCATATGGGTATAGTTGACCAAACTGTTCCTAACACTAAGTGAAATACTATACAGATTTTTAAAGTAGCATTTATGAAGTGTATATTAGCGTGTAAAATAATTGGGTTACAAATTTGTCTTCACAGTATGATTATAACCATAATGGGATAGGGAGGGGGGAACAGGTAAGGAAAAAAAGACTGAAAAGAAATGCACTATTACCATTGCTTATGTTTGGTGATAAGATGGGGGTTTTTTCCTCAAAATTTTCCATGGTTTCTTTAATGAATTTGTATTACTGCAATGAAAAAGCAGGTGAAACGTGTAGAGGTCTGGAATAGCCTATCCCAAACTGGTGGTTGGGAGGCCCAGAAAGGGGAACCAAAGAACAAAGCTGGAGGTCTTGGAGTTGTGCTGCCACAGGATCATGACTGCCGCTGCCACCAAGCTGCTCTTTGTCCTCTGCAGAGGGGATAGTTCACGGAACATTTTGAGAACAAGTAGCCTTTAGTGCACAAAGGAAAAATCCACCTTCGAGGGCTTTGTTTACTTATCTTCTGCCTGATCACTTACGTTTACTCTTGTTTGAAGTCCTATTGTTGTGGAAAATAAACATTTTGAATGGTCTACATTATTTTAGGTGACTTTTCTTTGTCCTTCATAATTTAGAACTACTGACTTTTCCCTCTCTTACTATTGAAAAGCCTATAAATCAGTTTTATAATGACAAGGGTAAATAATATAAGCTACTCCTATCTAAAATATAATTTCAACCAATAGTAATCATGATTTAGAAACAGTTTATTGTACTACATGGAAGAAATCACTGTAAAGAAACCAATATAATTCTTTACAGAGGCATTTTTTAATATATACTACTTTGTATCAGTCCAAAGAAAGAATGTCTGACACTCAAAAGTATATTTTAATGATATAAATGCACATTTGATGCTTTTTCTCAAGTTTTTCCTTGGCATTTTAATAGGAATAATTTATTTGAATGGGACACCTACTTTATTTTTATGATTACTGTGTTTTTAGTTATACTAGATCAATCTTTTAACAACTTGTTTATGTAATATCCTTTACACAATGACAAACAAAAGGTATTATTTTTTCTTACAGGTCTGTAAGCAAGAACAGAAAAAAATGGATACATTTGATGGAAGCATGACTGAAACTTCATCTCGGTATAGTGGTGCTCAGGATAGTGGAATTGGCAGTGACAGTGTTAAAATCAGAATAGTACAAATCGAGCAGCACAGTGGTACCAGTCAGCACCGCATTGCCCGTCCATCACGCCATTCATCGATTGTAAAAAATCTAAATTTTATTCCCTTCGACGTGTTTATTACTGCAAGTAGAATCTCATTAATGACCTATTCCTGTACAGCCTTACCCAAATCGAAATTGCAAGAACATAAGGATAATGAAAACACAGGCAAGAGTTCATTAAATCTCCCAGAAGTTGATTCAGATGTTGCTAAGCCCAGCCAGGCATGTATTTCCACAGTAACAGCAGAAGATCTCTTAAGCAGCACCATGTCTTTTCCTTCGGGGAAAAAGATAGGGGTCATCTCTCTCGAAAGCCTTCATGCAGCCACAAGGTCATCTGCTAGACAAGCACTTGGGGTAACTATTGTTCGGCAGCCTGGGCGAAGAGGAACTGGAGACTTGCTGCTAGAACCCTTTTTGTACTTCGTTGTGTCCCAGCCTTCTTTGCTTCTGAGTTGTCACCACAGAAAGCAGCGAGTGGAAATATCCATTTTCGATGCTGTGCTTAAAGGGGTATCCTCTGATTACAAATGTACAGGTAAGAGCTTTCAAGTTTACTGGAGTACCAATAACTACTACTGCATATTAAGTTTTATTCCCAACAGAAACCAGCTGGCAGACCAAACAAGACTTCTTTCTCTGCAGAATATGTATCTTTCTCTGCAGAATATGTAAAGTGCATGTCCCATAACTGAATCACAGTGAAGTAAATGTTTGAAATGTATCATGGTTTAGGCTTAGTGTTTTTACTGTGCCTCTGAATTTTCCTTTTTTTTTTTAGGAGCTAAATGCAGTGGGCTCTTTCTAAGCTACAGAAATGCTTAACGATTTCCAGTGATTAGAAAACAAAGCTTTTCTTCATAGTAATGGCCCATAGTTATGCTTTCCATGTTAATACAACTGTTCAAGTAAAAAAAGAAAACTGAGAAAATGAAGTTTATTGTTTTGGTATTCTTTTGATTTAATTATCTTCCTATAATGGCATAATATTAAATATATTTGAGAAGGTTTGTTGCTAAAGATGATCTAAAGGTTTTTATACATCTACAGTAAACTCCTTCATTAGTGATGTTGGACAACTGGCCCTTGTAGGCCCCATCCATATCTTTCTTATAACCAGAAAGCATCCTGTATTATAATAATTACATTGGACTAAGGCTTGTTGCCTATTAAGACTAGGAAAGTGATCACAGGTTCAGATTTAAAACATACTGGCTTGAAGTAACAAGAGCTAATGGAAACAGTGTCAAACAAGGTATAGAGACCTTTTTCCTGAGTTCATGTAGAATTAGAGATTTGGCCAGAAAGACTGGAGAGGGTAGCTGGGTCATCTAAGACTTGATATTGGAAAAGAGTTCTAGCAAGCTCAGATATACTTCAGGAATTTTATTGCTATCAGGTGATCCCATCTAGCAGCTGGAAGCCAGCAAGCAGACATTTAGAGAATTTGTCCAATCTGGGAGTCAGGCTGGGTCATTCTTGGTATTAAAGAGAACCATTTTATACAGCAGACTCCTGGAAAGTAGATAGCAGGTGTGAGGATCAGGATTCAGCCCAAGGAAGTAGGGTCAAAGGCGCCCTTGGCTCTCACTGAGGTGTAGTACAAGTCCTCTGCTTTAGAAAAGGGTAACCTGCCAGTTGCCAAGGAGTAACCTAGACTGCCTGCTGGCCCTCTGTCCACTGGTATGCTGGAGCTGGCTCACACTGACTTGCAAGAGCTGATTGTTAAGTTTAGGAACTTTAAAAGATAGTTGTTAAACCACCGGTAGTTTAAATTGGCCATAGTAAGAGTATTAATGCCACAGATATTGGCAAATGCTATTAATCAGCTCTCCTACTTAGAAAGCCAGTTGTTAAACATTTGCTAGCACATACTACCTCCCTTCTCCAAACATGTTCTCATTTACTGAGTGCTGCTACAATAAGCACATCGGGGCACTGGAGAGGGGAATAGTGATAAGGTAGTTGATGTTGCATGATTCAAGGACTCATGCCTGTATACCAGATACCTGTTTGGGAGTCTGCTTAGCATTTGCCAAAACTAGGTGCAAGACTGGGAGAGTAAATCTTGATTCCAAGTCCATCCGATTATTTTGGCTACAGTTGCTTTATATAGGTGGGTTTCACTGGACACTACTAAGAGATATTGATACTAAGTTCATCCAAGTTATTGGCACATATCAGAGATGTGCATTTAAATTATAACCAGTTCTTAAGTTGCAATAATAAAGTACTTTTTGTTTTTAAAAAAATCACTGTTTTACAACCAATGTGATAAAGCTTAGAGTAAAGGTTTTGGGGTAGATTTGGTATAGGAGATCACAGGTGGGGGGAAAAAGGCTTACACACCTTCTAAGGAACATCCATTCCATAAGATTCTTGTGGGTATCTTTTCCTAGATAAAAAGAATCTACTTGGACATTTATACCCTCCAAACAGTTATCAATATAGACTATCATGTTTCTTAAAAATGAATTTAGCAACTTAAAGAAATTTATCAGAGAACAAGTAAAGTAAAATGGCTAAAATAATGCAACTAGCATTTATTGAGTAGTCAGTCTGTGCCAGACATTGTACTAACTACTTTAAATGTATTATCTCACTTAATCTTTATAACAGCTCAATAGGAAATGTTATACCCCTATCTTAAAGATAAGGAAACTAAAGTTTGGAGCAGTTAAATAACTTGTCCAAGATCACAGACTTAGCAGTAAATAGAGCTAAGATTCAAAATCAAAATTTACTGAACTCCTGAGTCTGATTTCTCAATTTGCATGGATCTGTGGAGTGGAGAGAAATATGTGAATCCACAGTTCTCCCAGCCAGCCTCCCAACACTGTCCATTCTAGTTCCAAAGTTTTATCTTTCTGTAATTTGGAATTCATCTCCCCATACCTATCTTCCTAAAAATATTTAAACTATACTGCTTTGGCCTCAGGGAGTTGACATCTATAAGTGACTACTCTGTCAGATTAAAATTTATTTTCATTTGTTTTGAAGATGCAGATTTTCTCTTGATATTCTAGTTGAACGCTAATTAGTTTATTCAGTGTTTTAATACATAAATTTTATTAAATGTTAATGAAGTTATTTATCAAAAACTGATCTGGGGAATTTCTGTTTTAAATTCATCTACTTGAATGAACTATCCAAGTCCCTTTACCAATTTAGTTATCCAAAAATACTTCATATACCACTTTCCACCCTGAAGAAAGCACTGTTCCATGTCCAAGATTCTTTTCAAGCCCTGAAATAATAACAGTGTGGTTAAGAAAAAAGAGAGAAGTGTGAAAGGCTAAATATTAACATTTATGGGACAGAGGAGCATTCAGGTGGAGATGGCCAGGTCATTTCCAGATCTTTAAATTAGAGAGTCTTAATTGGAGGGACAAAAAAAGTGTATCACCATGAAGCTAACTTTCTGAGAAAGATCAATGAAAGGATAAAGACATCGTAAGTTAAAAATGAAAAAAGTAACATATTATGTCTTTCTACAGTGTTCATATTTTCTCTTTTGTAAAAATTTATTGATGTATGATTGACATACAATATTATATTAGTTTCAAGTATATAATGTAGTGATTCAACGTTCTTTTATACACTGCAAAATGGTCACCACAATAAGGCCAGTTACCATCTGCCACCTTACAAAGTTAATATATTATTGGCTATATTCCCTGTGCTGTACATTAAATCCCAATGACTATAACTGGAAGTTTATACTTCTTAATCTCCTTCACCCATTTCAAACCCAACCCCCCTCTAGCAACCACCAATCCATTCTGTGTATCTATGAGTCTGGGTTTTGTGTTGTTTGTTTTGTTTTTTAGATTCTACATGTAATCATATTGTGTTTGTCTTTTTGTGACTTATTTCACTTAGCATAATCCCTTCAAGGACCATCCATGTTGTTATGAATGGCAAGACTTTATTCTTTTTTATGGCTGTGTGTGTGTATATACATATGCACATATATACCACATCCACTTTATTCAAAAAACAATTGATACAGATTGTTTCTGTATCTTGGCTATTGTAAATAATGCTGCAGTAAACATGGGTGTGCATATATCTTTTCGAGGTAGTGTTTTAGTTTTCTTCAGATAGATACTTAGAAATGGTACTGCTAGATCATATGGTAGTTCTAATTATTTTCCTTCTTTTTTTTCATACATGTATATTTTTTATTTTGGTATTAATATACAATCACATGAGCAGCACTGTGGTTACTAGATTCCCCCAATACCAAGTCCCTACCGCATACCCCATTACACTCACTATCCATCAGCATAGTAAGATGCTATAGAGTCGCTACTTGTCTTCACTGTGCTATACTGCCTTCCGCATGCCCCCCCACTTACGTTATGTGTGCTAATCATAATGCCCCTTATTCCCCATCTCCCTCCCTCCCTAGTCCCTTTCCCTTTGGCAACTGTTAGTCCATTCTTGGGTTCTGTGTCTGCTGCTGTTTTGTTCCTTCAGTTTTTGGTTTGTTCTTATGCTCCACAGATGAGTGAAATCATTTGGTATTTGTCTTTCTCCACTTGGCTTATTTCACTGAGCATAATACCCTCTAGCTCTGTCTATGTTGTTGCAAATGGTAGGATTTATTTTGTTCTTATGGCTGAATAGTACTCCATTATGTAATGTACCACATCTTCCCTCATCCATTCATCTACTGATGGACACTTCAGTTGCTTCCATTTCTTGGTTATTGTAAATAGTACTGCGATAAACATAGGGCTGCATATGTCTTTTTCAAACTGGGCTCCTGCATTCTTAGGCTAAATTCCTAGGAGTGGAATTCCTCGGTCAAATGGTATTTCTATTCTTAGTTTTTTGAGGAACCTCCTTACTGCTTTCCACAATGGTTGAACTAATTTACATTCCCACCAGCAGTGTAGGAGGGTTCCCCTTTCTTCACATCCTCACCAGCACTTGTTGTTCCTAGTCTTTTCTGTATGGGCCATCCTAACTGGTGTGAGGTGATATCTCATTGTGGTTTTAATTTGCATTTCCCTGATAATTAGCGATGTGGAACATCTTTTCATATGCCTGTTGGCCATCTGAATTTCTTCTATGGAGGAATGTCTGTTCATATCCTCCACCCATTTTGTAATATGGTTATTTTCTTTTTGGTATTGAGGCTTGTGAGTTCTTTATATATTATGGATGTTAACCCTTTGTCAGATATGTCATTTACAAATATATTGTCCCATACTGTAGGATGCCTCTTTGTTTTGCTGATGCTGTCCTTTGCTATACAGAAGCTTTTTAGCATGATGTCATCCCACTTGTTCATTTTTTATTTTGTTTCCCTTGCCCAAGGAGATGCATTCAAGAAGAAGTTGCTCATGTTTATATCTAAGAGATTTTTGCCTGTGTTGTTTTATAGTTTCATGACTTACATTCAGATCTTTGATCAATTTTGAGTTTACTTTTGTGTATGGTGTTTGACAGCAATCCAGTTTCATTCTCTTGCATGTAGCTGTCCAGTTTTGCCAACACCAACTGTTGAAGAGGCTGTCACTTCCCCAT